TTATTCTTTGAAAGATTATTTATTTTAAATATTTTTTTATTGAAAAATTTATAAATAATAGATATGAGGCATCCTGATTTATGCTTATACCTTTGTCTAAAATACCCCATTTCGCACTGCATGTATAGGGCATGACAAAAATCAAGAAATCAACATGAAATGCTGCCAAGAGCATATTTCAAGCATGCTGCCACTTGTGTCTTAAGTTGCCATTTTTTGTTCTGACTTAATTTTCGAAGCTGGCCTTTAACTGATTTTATGCATTGTCATGGCTAACAAACTTTTTATGGTAGTTGTTGCTGTTGCGGTTTTTAGCCACAGAAAAGTTGCTGTTTAACGCCGAAGTCGATCAAATCAAGTAAAAATTTTCAGCTGCCTCGTTGAGTCAAGTTGAAATACTTTTGCGCTCGGGCGAGCATCAAATATCTGAGAAAAATCAAAATGAATAAAAAATTACTTAGTAAGTTGATTTTGCTGTCAACTTGCTGTGAATATGAGTCAGCTACTTAAGTTGTTTTAAGTCGACTTAAGCATGGTGTGTAGCTCCTTAACATGTTGCAATCAAAGTGGAAATCCCTGCCAAGGCCAAGCGTAACAAGGCTAACAGGCTCGGTCAACTTCTCTTGCTTGTTTATCTCGTTCTGTCTCGCCCTATCTCCGTCTCGCTCATTTTATCTAAATATTTTCGAAGGTCGCAAAAACAAATCTGGCTCTAAAAGGCCACAAAACTTTATATTTTTAAGCAACCCAAATGCGTTATAATTATTGGCGCCGTTCTGCTCGTTGGGCTACCCACGCACTCTCAGCTCTATCTCTGTCCCTCTCTGGCTTGCGTTGTAAGCCTCTTCGTGTGGCTTTAAAGCTCTTAAGTAGCTGCAGCCACGAAAAACATGAATATACTTTTATTTTGGCTACTTTTGACAAATGTTGGACTTGGATTTACTTAGTGTTTTCTTTTTTTTTTTTTTTTTTTTTTTTTTTTTTTTTGGTTTTTCTTCTGTTTCTGCTGCTGCATACCAATTTCCAGCTAATGCACTACAAACTTTACATATTTAGTTGATTCCAAAGTTTTAATTATCTTTGAGATCCCCAAAGAAGACGAAAACAGTTAGAAAAGAGAAAGAGAGAGAGAGTGAGTTAAGGTGTGAGAAGGGAGAGCTTGGTCAGCGGAAGCGGAAGTTGCCATGACAGTCAAGTTGACGCAGCTTGCTTCACGTTACGTTGCTTTCTCAGTTTCTGTTGTTGTTGTTGTTGTTGTTGCTGTGCGCGACAAAGTAAGCAAAATGTGTGCGGGCGGCGCAAAACTTTGTCCAAAAGCCAGTCAAAGAGGCTAAGGGAGGCGAGCAAATGAAAGCGAAAGCGCAGCACAAATTGCAACATGAATTACAATTTAGCCTGGCAACGGCACACAGACGCACACAAACACTCTCACGCACACGCACATGGCTTTGTAAATGCGAAAATCCTTATAGAAAGAAGACGACACAAAAGCAGTTATTGTGCCGTCGTTCTTAAAGCAACATCGCCTCAGCATGTTCTCAGCTGTCTGTTCATCTGTCTGTGTGTATTATTATATATATATTTTTTATATTATTGTATACTCTGTATTATTGTGTGTGTGTTTGTGTGTCGTTGGTGCAGGACGAGACTGAATTTTCCTTGAATTTTGTAAATGTATTCCTTGTATCAATCAATTCATATTTCATCAATCACTTCATATTTAATTCAAGCATGTTGAGATTTGTTGAAATTAAGCAATCAGGCATTGGAATATATTGCTCGGAAAATTGTCGAAGTGATAGACTTGAATATAAATCCAGAAATGTTTAAATTAAAATTAATTTATCATTAT